GCTACTGCACAGTCTCTGGTTGCAAAAAAGCCAGACAGCATTTTGGCATAGTAGAGGGAAGTGTGACACCATGTCCTTCGTATTTACAGTCATTGTATTGTCTGTTTACAGTGCAGTCAGACAAATTCACATTTAAATGAAGAGGTCAGTTAAAAATAATCGATTTGATGTTGCAAATGATGCCAGCAGCATGGCACAGTAATGTTAGTCACCTTGTTGAGGAGACAGGCATGTGCAGTCTGATACCTGCACATGTGGCCACACCTTCTTCTTTCATTACTCCCTTTCAAAAGTTAAAAATTATCCCAGTATTGGAAATGACTCACTGCATGTCCTGTAGCTGGGTCACAATAACAGGCATACCCTTGATCCACAAGTTGTTCACTTTTAATGTGAAGCAGCAGAAGCAGAAAGTGTTCAGTTTGCTTTAGCAGTAAATCAGTACAGGTCTGGTACAGTGTGAAGAGTGAAACGGGAGTGAGGCTGTTGTAATGAGATTACATTGTGCTGGATTTCATCTATACTGAATCCAGTGTGAAATGGCAGACCAGACCACTACCAATAAAAACTACTATGTAGATGTCATCACGGGATGTAAATACGTTGAAGGGCTGTTGCAGAAGCAATACAGACCAAAATAAGTATCATAAATAGGACCTGTGGTCATGAAATCTTGAAGGACTGAATGTCAATTTGGTCATTCCATTGTGCCAGAAGTCACAGGACTATATGTGCTGTAACAGGATTTTGACAGCCAGAGGATTTGTCCAGCCATAACAGAGGAAAACTGATCATTTGTCTTTCAGGAAAAAAGCTTGAGGATCCACTCATTGCTGTGTTTTTGCAGACTGTGCAAACCTGATGCTGAAGACCTGGTAAGTTAAGGATGTACTACACTGATCTTTGCTCTGTGTGAACAATGCAAACAAAGCTTTTACATTCAAATTGCTGCTGTTCAATAGAACGAAGCCTGTGTCTGTCACAGCGAGCTACCGTACAAGTCTGAACCAAGGTTCCTCTCTCTGGTCGAACACTGGTGCAGAAAGATGC